ATAGTTCTTTCTAAGCTTTCTTTGATTTTCAATATTTTTTGATGATTTTGGACAAAACAAACATAATATCCTATTGGCTATAAGTCTTGATAACAATTTTGGAAAAATTATAAACAACAAAATTATGGAAGTATAAAATTTATGAATGTGACAAGAGTTTAATTAGACAATAAGTTGCCATTACAAATGTATATTATAACAAGGAAAATGTTTCAAAATGTTGCTGGCACTGTCAACAACATTTAAGTTAAAACTCCATTTCTTGTACTTCATTGGTATTTATTATAATACATTTATTTCCAAAATTTCATGCATCCACTTCAGGATCCTTAACAGGTAAATTTAGTTTTTATTTCCCCTTCCTTTCAAATGTGATATTATGAGAACACAGGCAATGTGAAATTGTCTTACTTGGGAATGATGCAACAACTTAGACTAAGATAAAGGAAATAAGCTCAAAGGAAATATAAACTCAAAGTTGTGGTCTGTTTAATGGGTATTGTAACATATCATTGCCCATATTTGGACATTGTGTTACGTCATTATCAGATGACAGAGTATTAATCTACTGTATGTCCTGGATTTTGACGTTACCTAAATTTGGTAACAAAAAATTATACAATATTTCAAATGTTGTGGCATTTGTGAGGTAAAAATAAAACCAGTTCCTATAAAGCATATACCTACTTTGTAAGATTTGTCTATGAGTTGTCTGTGAGTTTAAGTGTAGATACGCATTCTCACATAGAATAACCTCCTCATTCAATATGGGGCAGCAGGTCATTAAGGATTAATTTTTATCATATAATATGGGGTTATTACGAGGATACTGCGAAGTATGCACAAAGACAGTACAGTGGAAGTATCACCGTGCAGAAGAGGTCGATAGGACCACATACTGTCTGAGTGCATACTTTGTGGTATCCTTGTAATAACCTCATTATTATACATCTTTTCATCCCAGAATACATCATGGGAATGCCGAAATCCAAAAAGTTTAGAACAGATTTGATGAACTTTTTTGTGTGTGTACCGGTCAAACCCGGGGGGCTGCCAAGTTTGTTTTTATTATTAGAGGACGCTTACACACTTGATCATTCCATATTTGGAATTAGCATTTCCTAATATGGTAGGATGTGATAGACTTAAAAAAGTAACTTTTGCAGTGTTTTTGACTCAATGACTCATATTTCAATGAGACCTCGTACATAGAGGTTCTGGGACAATTGAATAGATCCAGATTAGTTTTTGATAAAAATCTGAGCATATTAAATTATCCGGTTTTCATAATAATTAGCCAATTTTCAGCTTTTCCACTGATATCTCAAAAAACACTTGACAGATTCAAATGAAACCTTGTGTGTAGATGCTTGTTAATTCTTGGTTGAATTTCGTGGATATCAAATATCTAATTTGCATAATAATTAGCTAATTCTAAACTACTGCACTGATATAAAGACATTTCGCAGATTTCAATAAAATTTGTTACTTTTCAGCAATATGCTATATGTATGACACCTGCTGTGTGTATTCATTTGAATATTGACATCATGTAACTTGTATTATAAAAGTATAAATTCATATCATTGTCTTTTATCTACCTTCATTTGTAGCTTGCTTGCTGGCAGCTTTCAATTCTTGCTGCCTCATCTGCGTTTGTGAATTGAAATAATTTTAATAACATGAAGCATCATGGTGTTTTATGTGGTGTTTAATGGTTGGTGTAGCTTTGAGATTCACTTGGGTTAAATGCCAAATGGTGGCGGTAGATATCATTGCTGCAACCTTTGACCTGCTAATTGTGTGTGTGTGTTGTTTCTTTTCTCAGATGCTAGCTGAAGATAATGTGCCTGAAGGCAAGTCCAAACCCAAGAAAACTGTTACAATTGACGATGGAACCAAATCAAGTAGAAAAATTGATGATAAGGAGAAGGAAAGAATCATGAAAGAAAGACTTGCTCAAAGACGAAAGAAACAATTTGTCAAAAAGGGAAGTCTTGCTGCTGCTCCAGATATGGATACATTGTCAAAAAGAATCCAGGAACAGAATGCTAGTGAGAAAAATGAAGGGGAGTAAACCAGAATTTGGAACTGCCAACATTCTATCAACCCCCCTCCAATTTTATCATTTATACATATCATAATCTAATTTTATAATCAAGGAGAGTAATTTTTAATTTCATAAACAAAATAATTCTAGTGAAGATAATTTTTTCATTTTTTGCTGTTTCTCTTGACCCTACCACAAGTTTGCTTTCAAAAATAAAAATTGGAGTACCAGGTACGTAAAGATTTACACTGATTCATCTGTCTGATTTTTCGTATATTTTTCAAAAAAATCATATTTTTATGCCTTGCTGATAATTTATAGATAAGATATCGACTGACCCATGATTCCGATTTTTTTTCTGGGTTAAAAGGCATAGAATACCCAAGGACTTGGTTATTATAGGGTGTCTGAATATATACATACAAAGGAATGTAGTTTGTTCACTTGTGTGGTATGCAGAAATTTGTTTTTGTTAATGCTTTTTTGGACTAAATTGGAGTGTAATTACTCATCAGGATTGATAGAGGGCGATATTTCAGATTAGGGTCAATCACATTTAAAAAATTGTTTTAATTTATTTTGCTTGTTGGTTGGGTCATTAGAAACACAGAAAAATTGTTCATATTTTGTATTTAATAAACATTAGTTTTGTATATTTGTAATGTTAAGTGAAAATAGTGTTCTTTTCTTTCAAAAGCAATGACATTAGTTTCCCTTTTTATGTTTTTTTTTTTAAATTTGTATATAGATTCTTGTAAAAACAGATCTGCAATAACAATCAATGATTGATTTAAAGCCGATTCATCTACTCTAAATAGAGTCATATACGTATGTCAAAGGTCAAAATAAGTCATATGTGGATGATCTAACGTACAATACATGCAATTTTTGATTATGTATGCTTCTAATAAAGAAAACACTGTATTATTTTCTCGATATATTAAGACAAAGTTTAGTTTTTGTTTTGTTGTTTTCTATACAGCTGGCTTGTATGAAAAACACAAGATAATAAATAATTAACCAATATAAAAAATTTAAATTTGGATTGGTAGGGTGGTTACCTCGTAAAGCCATTTTATATATCTTTATTTATATATTTAGAAGGATTCATTTTATGTTTTATTCCCTCTATATTTTATTCTCAGGATACTAATTCTCATTGGTGTAGTACACGTATCCAAAGTCTCAACATTAAGATTGAAAGAATTAAGCTAACTGGCCATAGAGGGCGCTTTCACAATAACAGTCTTTTTTTTATTCTTGAGTGTATCCTCGGGGGCGGACATCCGGGCATTTTCACCGCCTGGCAACCCGCGGCGGTGAAAACAAAGGCCCAAAACTCGCAGAAAACGGTACTTTGGGATGATTGTTGAGACTCCTCTGAACAGTGCAACAAGATTACCTACGCGTGTAACATATATAAATTTGGTTGTTCGAAATTACTTTCAAAGTTGAGTTTGTGTTGTTTTCTCAAATTTTCACCGGCTCGACCGGCGTTCCACAGCAGCGCGCACAGAGCCCATAGAAATGCATGGTACAGTGGTGCGCGTCTTAGCAACGTGGAACGTCTTGTGACGTAGCTCCGCCCCCGAGGATAGTAGTATGCAACTACACTGGATATGCACTCTGTTCATTTATAATAACCATTCTGTATTTTTTCTGTTATACATATAATGTATTAATCAAGTCTAATCTAATTGTGTGGGACCCATATCGAATAACGACACGATGTGACAATTGTGCTGCTTTAATACAATGTGTGTTGATTTCTGCTTGGATTATCCTCTATGCTCGGGGGCGGAGCTACGTCACAAGACGTTCCACGTTGCTTAAGACGCGCACCACTGTACCACGTATTTCTATGGGATCTGTGCAAGCTGCTGTGGAACGCCGGTCTAAGAGCCGGTGAAAATAGCTAAATTCGAGAAAACAACATAAACTCAACTTTGAAGTAATCCTGAACAAACAAATTTATATATGCTGCACACGCAAGGGGTAATCTTGTTACACTGTTCAGTGGAGTCTCAACAACATTCTCAAAGTACCGTTTTTCTGTGAGTTTTTGGCCTTTGTTTTCACCGTGATGGTTGTCAGGTGGTGAAAATGCCCGCCCCCAAGAATACACACTTATACCAATGATCCAATATCATTGAACATATTTGCCTATGCTCTGGGGTCTTGAGTAGACACCCACTGCAAGTAAAAGGTTACTAAGTACCGGTACATGTATTGTATATTTCCTCTATTGCAAGTACTTATGTATTGACTGTTTACCCTGGGAAGGCATTATTATTTACTGAATGGATGACACAAATACATGGTATATGACTGTGTTTGAGGTCAAACAGAAAATCTTGTCTCTTAAATAAATTTCATTGAATTCTTACTGTGTTTTATTTTTAATCTTTTTATTTTTACAACGATTTCTGTACATAAAAAGAGGCTGAGAGTATTTTTTACAAAATTACACACGAGATATTATTGGAAGTATGTAGCTGTCTAAAAAAAATTAATAACAATAATGAATAATTAATTGTAAATAATATGAATGCATTGAATTAAATGAACAACCTGACAGAGTGAAAATAAATGCAAGAACGAGAGACATTACTGTATTGGTGGAGTTCATTTGTCAACACAATCAACCATTGATTCTCTGAGACACAAAGATTCTGACTAAAAGATAAACATTTTGTCTGGACAATAGAGGGTTTACTTGATAAGTGCTCAATACATGTCTGATGGTGTTGAATGATTTGCATAATGGGACACCCTAACTCAACACTTTTGAGTTGATTGATGGACCCCTCGAATCAACATTCAATTGGGGTTCAAAACAGACAAAATGTTATTAGATATGACTGTATCTGTTTGTGTAAGAATTAAACTCAGTGTTTTTATTGACCACTTTATATAAACATTTTATGTTGGTGAATGGTTTCCTAGCAACTAATGTGATATAATGTATGAAGTGATTCTGATTGCCAATTGCGGCGGTACTTGACCGAAATGCCAGTCAAATATGACCCGTCAAATCAAAGGTGAATCAAACAAACTGCACACTTTGCGTCATTCTGCGTTTTTTTTTTTATAAAAATAACGAGAATCGTTGAACTAATAATGATGTCATAATTATTCTTCTTGGCAAATATGTAAATTTAACAAAACTACGCTGGTGTCTTAGAAACTATCCAGTACATGAAGGCACGATATTTACATAATAGTCGTTACAGAAGGTGTTTTACATGGTTTGAGGTTTGGGGCGACTTAATCTGAATATGAAATAAACAGCCGTAGTCGTTGTGCTGCATTCATTTGAATTTTGTACAAGCAATGTATTACATGTATACCAGTGTTGTGTGTATGTGACGTGTGTCGCGACAACTACTGTCCGTTTTAATTCAGTGAAAAACAATAATGTTCATTATCAATAATGTACAAACACGCAGAACAATGAAATAACCTGGCAACAATATTATTTTATATATATATATATATATATATATATATATATATATATATATATATATTCACACCTGCCTAATGTATCCATGCTATGTAAATTAAGTTTATATTGTAATCTCATGCCTGTCTTTTTATCCTGTGTATTATAGTTTGTGTATACATATATTCAGTTTCCGTGGTTACGATTCTATGACAGTTGACAGTTTGTCACAGCAATAATATGAATAAATTTATTGATATGAGTATTTCATTTGTTTTCTGACATCCTTACAGTACATTAGTTGTTAGTATTCTAGTTTGTGTGTGGGTTGCAGTCTTCCATACGTGTGATATCATTCACCTCAGTCAGCATAAATGATTGACTCGGATGTAAGGGATGGACCATTAGATCTTGGGAGGGGGTGATCAGACCAAGGAGAATTTTTTTTTTTTAACTATCCAAAT